GAGGGCGAAGCAATAAACACTGGGCTCAGACAGACTCACCTGCTGCGTAGCGCACGCAGACGGAGAACCGCGGCCACAGCAGCGCCCAGGCCCAGCGCCTCGGCACCTGTCCCGGGCTCCGTGGATGGACTCAGTGTTGGCTTCACGCACTCACGTTCTCATTCTGTTTTTAAAACGAAGGCACAGACAGAGTCAGAAGTGGAGGGAGCCTGCGATGATCAAAGCCCTTCCTGGGGGACCCCTCCCTCCATCCTCCCTGTACATCCCGGGGCCCTTTCCCTGCCTCAGAGCCCTCGCCTCCCGCGATCTCAGTGTAGATGGCACGTCCCCACCGTGCCCTTCAGCCACATGTGTGAGGTCGTTCTCAGATCCACGTCAAACGTCACCCAGCGCCTGTCCTCCACGACCTGTCACTCACCCGCGGAGTGCGAGGTGGGACGAGGGTTCAGGCCCCAATCAACTGCGTATTCAAGCCAGCACCTCACTCCATCCCTCACCGGTATCTCCAGTCAGGCCTCCCCTCCCCTCCTCTCTGCCATCCCGGCTCCCAGGCCATTTCTGAGGACCCTCTCCTGAGCCCCGGTGGGCGTTCTGAGGTGCCGACAATGTGGTTACTTGTCTAACGTGCATGTCAACGCTTGAAATCAGCTGCCTTTTTAAAAGGACCCGTGCGACCTGGAACCCTTAACAAACTCTCCAAGTGTGTGGAGCAGTTATAAAAAGGCGGGGGGGGGGGGGGGAGCAAAACACCCTCTGGAGAATTAACAAATCCATACTAATGAAGGGTAATATGCTAATTAGACCAGAGACCTTCCGGAAGACCTTCCAGACATCCTTCCAGACAAAGCCGTGGTGGCGGGGCCGAGGGTGATCAGGCCAGGCGGGGAGGGCATTTGGGGGTGATCAGGCCAGCGCGGGTGGGGGGACAGTTGGGGGTGAGCAGGCTGGCAGGCAGAGTGGTTAAGGGCGACCAGACAGGCAGGCAGGTGAGGGGTTAGGAGCCAGCGGTCCCGGATTGTGAGATGGATGTCCGACTGCCAGTTTAGTCGGAAATCCCCCGAGGGGGTCCCAGATTGGAGAGGGTGCAGGCCAGGCTGAGGGACACCCCCACACACACATACGAATTTCGTGCACTAGGCCACTAGTATATAATACAGTGTTTTGTTTTAATATTTTTATTGATGTCAGAGAAGAAGGGGGAAAGAGATAGAAACATCCATGATGAGAGAGAATCATGGATCGGCTGCCTCCTGCACACCCCACACTGGGGATGGAGCCCACAACCCGGGCCTGTGCCCTGACCGGGAATGGAACCCTGACCTCCTGGTTCACAAATCGATGCTCCACCGTGGAGCCACGCCGGCTGGACTCTTGGAGATTCTTGGCCTGGTCCTCAGGTTCCCACATCGGAGCCTGGAGACGTAGCTTCCAGCCCCAGAGCTGCCCACGCCCGGCGAAGCCCTGAGCCACACGCCATGTCTCAGGCTGCCTGACGTGAAAGCCTGTTCTCCATGATGGCAGCCACGTTGCTAAGCGTTGGCTGATGATGTATGGAATGGGCTCGTTCCCGGACTCGGTCCAGAGCCTGCACAGAGCCCAGCCTTCTGCTGGCACCCCGCTTTGTTCTGAGAGAATTACGTGACTCCGACATCAAAACAGGAGCCACGCTTGTGGGAAGCTGAGCTGTTGGAGGCAGGGGTCAAAGGCCATAGCCTCCATCCCAGCAGCCCCAGCGTTTCCATGGCGTCCAACCCAACCTTAGCCTTTCATCGCCTGCAAATCCAGTCACTCCATCGCATCTCTGTCTCTCACTGGAGGACACCAGCCAACTGACAACGTGCGTGTTTTCCCTTAAAAGGAATCCTTCAGGATTATGAGTCAGTTCCCTAAGAATTTCACACATTTTGTGTGGCTCAGTCAGAGCACGTGACCGTGATTCAGGGTTATTTTGTGCTTTTTACAGCATAAGACTCTTCTCGTATGGGGTCCAAGTGAAAAACGCCAATAACATAAGCCACTCAGAATTGTTGTTTTCAGATAAGAACACACAGGCGTCTGACATGCATAACTTATAAATGCCCTTGAGCTGCGAAAAGAAGGAAACACGGTTTGAAAACTATGGAACGAATCTGTTACTCTTTCTCTCTCAGGCAAGGGGAAAGGAACACTGGGAATTTCTTTGGGGGGAGGGATTATTTTTCTGTCCATGCAGTACATCAAGAGCAGACTTAGGTCTTCATTGTTCTATACTAGAGGCTCGATGCACGAAAATGGTGCAAGAGTAAGCCTTCCTTCCCCTCTGGCACCTGGGACATGGCTTCCCTCTGCTTTAATAAAAGCATAATATGCTAATTAGACTGGTCATCATCCCTGATTCCCTCAGACATCTGCGGAGTGCCAGCAGAAGGCTGGGCTCTGATTAGGCTCTGGACCGGGTCTGGGAACAAGCCCATTTCATACATCATCCGAGTGTCATTCACGGATCTCCAAGCTGTGAGGGAAGCCTGGGTCCTGGTGCCAGAGGGAAGCTGGTGCCGGCAGCTGGGGGAAGGAAGGCCTGCTCTTACACGATGTTCATGCATCGGGCCTCTAGTAGATAATAAAAGCCTAATATGCTAAGTGCCTGGTCATCCAACCGATCAAAGTGTAATATGCTAATGATATGCTAAGGCTGCTCAACTGCTCACTATGATGTGCACTGACCACCAGAGGGCAGACACTCCAACCTGTAGGTTAGCTTGCTGTTGGAATCTGGCCAATAAGGACTGAGTGAGACCAGACTCACCCTGGAGCCCTCCTGCCTACCCTCTCCAGCTGGCCAACATCCCGAGTCCCTCCCCAACCCCATTCGTGCACCAGTGGGGTCCCTTGGCCTGGCCTGCACCCCCTTGCAATCTGGACTGAGGGACTCCCCCTCCCCTGAGTGCATGAATTTTGTGCACCAAGCCTCTAGTTTTTTTTTTTTTTAATAAAGTTTTATTCTCATGAATCAAGTTTTGATTCATATTGATAGATGGAGAGCTAAACAACCTTCTCACATTTCCCTGAAAGTGAAGAAATCTTTTGTTATAAATTCAAACAATTTTCTGTCACTTTAGATACAGATTGGCACAGCCTGGAATAGAACAAACGTGTGATACTATTGATTATACTGGGAATGTCGGCCGCGGTAATAACTCGCTGGGTTGCTGTGTGCTGGCCCCGTGGGAACCGTGCCTGGAGGAATTAGCCAAATGAGGGGAAAACAGAAATCCTGTCTCGCTCGATCCGACTGCATAGCTGACTCTCTCAGAAAGTGTGCCCATGTGGCTGCTAAGATTTGTAGGACGAGAGCTGCTAAGGTTGCAGCTCCAACGAAACAGGTGTCTAGCAACTAGAAATGGGAATGCACACCACTTGTTTCTAGAAAATTATAAGTGTAAGAAAACAATGACAAATATTTGAAAAAGGTAGGGAATTTATCCCAAATTTTAAACTTCATTAAGAAATAAAAATAGATGAAATAGGAAATATGTAAAATAATTATGTTTTTATAATGTGTACTAGAGGCCTGGTGCATGAAATTCATGCATGGGGGCGGGGTGTCCCTCAGTCAGGCCTGCACCCTCTCCAATTTGGGAACCTTCAAGGGATGTCTGCCCGTTTAGGCCCGATCCCACTGGGCAGTCGGACATCCCTCTCACAATCCAGGACTGCTGGTTCCCAACTGCTCGCCTCCCTGCCTTCCTGATTGCCCCTAACCACTTCTTCCTGCCAGCCTGATCACCCCTTAACCACTCCCAAGCCAGTCTGATTGATATCTAACTGCTCCTCTGCCAACCTGTTTGCCCCAACTTCCCTCCTCTGCCGGTCTGGTCACCCCTAACTGCCCTGCCCTATAGAGTTGATCATCCACAACTGCCCTCCCTTATAGGCCTGGTCCTTCCCAACTGCCCTCTTCTGCTGGCCATCTTGTGGTGGCCATATTGGATCCACATTGGGGCAGCCATCTTGTGTGTTGGAGTGATGGTTAACCTGCATATTACTCTTTTATTAGATAGGATAGAGGCCTGGTGCACAGGTAGGGGCCAGCTGGTTTGCCCTGTAGGGTGTCCTGGATCAGGGTGGGGATTCCCTTGGGACATGGGGCAGCCTGAATGAGGGGCCTGTGGTGGTTTGCAGGCCATCCATGCCTCCTGGCAACCCAAGTGGAGGCCCTGGTATCTGGAATTTATTTACCTTCTACAATGGAAACTTTGTAGCCTAGAGCAGAGCCAAGCCTCCTGCTTGCTCCCTCGTGACAGCCATTTCTGTTGGAATTTATTTATTTTCTATAATTGAAACTTGTAGCCTGGAGTGAAGGCCTGAGCCGGCCAGGGCTGCAGAAGCTTGGCTTCCTCCATCGCCTGCAGCAACCCTAGCCTCTTGGTCTTCCAGCTCCATGGCTGCCCCCATTTCTATCGGCATTTATTTAACTTCTATCATTGAAACTTTGTACCCTTGAGTGGAGGTCTGGGCCTGGCAGGTGTGTGGGAAGCTTGGCTTCCTCCATCGCCAGGGAAACCCAAGCCGCCCTCCTGTTTTCTATGTCCACAGCCATCTTGGTTGGGGTTAATTAGCATACTTGCTCTGATTGGCCGATGGGTGTGGCTGGTGGGTGTAGCAGAGTGGTGGTTAATTTGCATGTCACTCTTTTATTAGATAGCATAAGTTTATCATACCAGGTGTGCATTGTATTTATAATCAACAAATTGAAAAATGTACATGTAAGTCTGTACACATAGTAGAGATAAATGAGCCAAAAAGACCAAGTTCTCAATTTCAAATTCAATGATTTATTGGGTATTCAGCCTAAGTCATTGGGAGTTCGCAAAGCTGCCCACACCTGACATGGTGTAGACATGCTCACTACAAATACGTTCTCTGAAATTCTGGGATTTCCCTTGACCCCCAGCTGCTGGCGGAGGAATGGTTTGGCCAATCCATGACTGGTAACAGCCGCTGGCATCTAAGGGAGAGGTTTAGTAGAAACCAGAGTATCCGTATCCCCCCCAGCCGGAGCCATAGCCCAGGCCACCAAGGCCACCCCAGCCCCAGCCAGAGCCATAGCCATAACCACGGCCTCCCCAACCATAGCCGGAGCCATAGCCATAGCCAAGGCCACCCCAGCCGTAGCCGAGGCCTCCGTAGTAGCTGCCATAGTAGCTCATGGTGTCAGGGGAGTGTGTTCTGTTCAAGATGAGATCCTGAGAGTGAGTGCCAGTGAGTGGGGAGGAGGGAGCTTATATACCCGAGCCAGCAGGTGCTGGATCCCGTGACCATTTCTGAGTTTCATTCCAAGAGATTCAGGCCCTGAGGCAGCTTATTAATCTGTTTGATGATGCAAGGAGATGCTCATATTTATGAAAATTTGGAGCCGACACAGCCGCCTGGTTAGAGCCCCTTGAACCCATGACAGTGTGTGTGTCTAAGGAGAAGCACATCTGCCTCCACGTCACAGAATAAACACTCACTGAACACAACTCTCCATTCCCAAGCGCATGGCCTTCGTCATGTTGGCTGGTGTGTTCTCATTACATATTGTGTCATTGCAATTTGCATATCATTCTTTAGATTGTCCTATCTTACTTTCATCTCAGTTCAAATACTCAGATCCAATTTAAGATTCTTACAGCCATGAAATTTCTTAATTGTCTCTCTCAAGTTGAACACGCACATGAGAAAGCCATGTTGGTTTTATATATCTTCTTGCAAAATACCCTTTTGGTTACTCAACACAGTGCAGTGCTTTTCAGAAGCTGAGGGTCTGACCACAACAACAAACTCACACATGTCACCCCAGGCTGAATCCCGTTCACAACATTCTCTTTAAACATTACCCTCTTCTTCAAAACAGAAACCTGTTATTCGAAAACATAGGTGGTCTTGCCTCCAGCTTTGCAGTTGCTTTTTCTTTTCTCTCTCTGTTCTTCCTGGAATCCCACCCATCGTCTGTCCCATCCAGCCTCTCTTTATGTCGTCATTCTGCTCTCAGTCCCACACACACTCGCAGAAGCCAGGTCTTCCTCTCTGATCCAATTCTTCCATCAGTGCTTCATCCCTCCACTCAGGTTTTTAATTTTATCCCGATTTTGTTTTCCTTATATGTATTTTTTTTATTTGTTTTTATTGATTTCAGTGGAAAAGGAGGAGGGAGAGATAGAAACATCAATGATGAGAGAAAAATCATTAATTGACTGCCTCCTCACCACCATATACTGGGGATCAAGCCTGCAACTCGGGCATGTGTCCTGACCAGGAACATGTGTCCTGACCAGGTTCATAGGTCAGTGCTTAAGCACTTAGATATACTGGCCAGTTGAGTCCATATATTCTTTACCAATTTTCTGTGTCCTGCCCCTTATTTTTCTGTTCAGCAATCAGCACGTTTATTTTATTTTTTATAACTATTTTTATCTTTCAGCATCCAGCATGATAAGAGAGTGTTTCAGTTCCCGCATGGGGGTGGCTGGGGATTGAGAAAATGAAAAAAAGAGATGACACAGAGATAAAAGGAAAAAGCTGGGACCATGTAGGAAACATGTTCTCTGATGGAGAGACAGTGACCCAGAGCAGATACAGCCCATTTATTTTATACAGCAAAAACCAGGAAGTTTTACTAAAGCCCAAGACAAAGGAAATTATGTGCATTCTTGTGGCTTCTTTGTAATCATCACTTCTGGGTGGGCCGAATAATCATGTTTGTTCCTGGTGCTTGGCTAGATTTAGATAATGAAACCCACTCCCTGGCTCCTCGGCTAAAGATCAGGCTGACAACACACCTGCCTCTGGCAAGGTGTGTTTCCAGCACTGGGCTCTGCCAACACCACTGGATTCAGCTGACAATAATTAAAGAAATGCCCATGTGCCTTCCCAGGCACTCTCTACATCTCCCCCTTCTTTATTTCTAAATGTAGCTTATGGACATCTAGTTGGAACCTTCGGATTTGAGATCTCAGGAGCTTGCTGCTGATGGCAGCTGACAAATACCAGCATAGCGACAAAAAGTGTGGAAGTGGTTACCTGAACCCCTGTTCTTTCACCACTTGCTGAGCATTGATGGTCAGCTTCTTCATTTGACCCCGTGTGGGGACACTATCTTCTCAGGTGGCCTTGGTCACCTGCCTTCTGCATTTCTCCTTCTTCGGGGTCAGTGGACGAGCTGGCATCATCACAGGAGGTGTGAGCTGCTCTCCCAGGTCCATGGTCGTGACACGCCGCTCGCTCTGGCACCCTGATGGGGTTAGAAGTGCCTTCTGGAAAGATACAAACACACCCTCTTCCCACGTCATTACTGGGTCAGGCCCTCTCCACTGCCCTGTTTCTAAATCCACGATGGGTGCCATACCGGCAGAGGCTGTGGCAACAAGAGCTTGGTCCCCCACGACTGCTGTGTGACCCTCATTGTCACAATTTTAAAAATTTAAAGTGTAAAGGGCATGATTTAAGTGATTCTGTGGAGTAGGAAAATACCCTTCTCCCCCTTTATGTTTTTGTAACTGAGTCTTTGAAGTTCAATTGGCTCTTTCTACAATTGCCTGTCCCCGGGGATTATGTGGAATTCCTGTTTTATGTATCATTTGGTATTGCTTGAAAAACTGCTGGAAGGAGGAACTAGTATAACCAGGTCCATAAGGTGCCTTGCCAGGTGCTCAAAGCAATATTTTATTTCAGAATAGTTGGCATGCAATCTGACATGGATTGTATTAGTCACAATCTAATGACTCAGCATGTTTATCCCTCAAAATGGCCACCCCCGGCAATGACTAGGCAATAACCTGTCACTGTGCAAACTTCTCATAGCATTACCGATTCTGTGCTCCTTTCCCTTCTCACTCAACCACCAAACATTTAAATAAAATATTCTAATTCTTCAGGGTTTTAAAGTAAAAACACTTCTGAACTCTTACGATTTTCATCAGAATCTCCTGTGATCTTGATGCCTGGAAATGCTGCAAAAAATAAACATGGCAGAGAGGATGTGACTGAGACAAAAACAGAAATATCATAGAGATTAGCCATCAGCCTTCTGGGAATTTCCTTGGCTCCTGAGGAAACCTGAGTGTGAGCCCAGGGTTCAAGGTTAAGCCCACCTGGAGTGTGCCACAACTTGCGCTTGGTCTTTACCATTGTGTGTGCTTCCCATGACCTTAACATGTATCCAGGGCTTTGTATTGTTATGGTGCTGGGTTTTTTGTTCTGTTTTGAGGTTTATAAGTATCAGAGGCAAGCTCCTCAGTCTGGACTTGACACTTCTGAGTGAGGAGAATCAGAAGAACACGAGGGTACAAGCAGAAATATTGGACATGCTTTATTATACACAACAGCAGCCATTTGGCTCCTTACATACATGCCCACACATCAAACAAAAAAAGCTTTTGCTAAATAGAAACATCAGTATTTTGACTACAAAAGGCACTTGGATGCAATGTATGGCTTATTGCATCCTTGTCTTATGCCTGCACATAGCAACTCAACCTTGAACACTTTGATTAGGATTCTCATGCTCAGAGTGACCTTGAACATCCAGAGTATTCTAACAGGTCAGCATAATAAGTAACATATATTTTCTTTACTTTTCTCTTTCTTTTTCATTAATACAGAGAGGAAGGGAAAGGGAGAGGGAGATAGAAACATCAATGATGAGAGGAAATCATTAACCAGCAGCCTCCTGCGTGACTCCCACTGGGCATCAAGCCTGCAACCCAGGCCTGTGTCCTGACCAGGAGGAATCAAACCATGATGTGCTTGTTCACAGGTCTATGCTCAACCACTGAGGCACACAGGCAAGGCATAAGTTACATTTTTTATAATACATTTCCCTTCCATCTCAATATATTCACTGTTTTTCAAACAAAACATATTTTCTGAGTGACTGAAAGATTAAATTTTGTCTGCCATATCTGTAGAAATTATCTATCAGTATAGACTCAAGCACACATATTTGACCAAATTATACCAAGAAAAAAAATATCTTCATCTTATATTATTCTCTGACAATACTGTTTGATTCTAGGAAAGGAATGGTATTTCAGTCCATCTGTTGTTTTTTTTTTCTTTTTATTTAACCAAAAATATATGCCCCATGTTGCCCCTTTATTATCAGGAGAAAATCAGATCTTGCTGAAATTTAGATTTTTAAGAAATATCTTTGGTTTCAGCTTCAGCTAAATAATAATTGGTTCACAATTATATCTTACTGTTTCTTTCCCTGATGGGATTGAAGCTAATGCTTCTGTGGAGATGGTGGTGAGGAAGGATGCAAGTGAGACACAGTGAGAGCAGAGGACAGGGAACAGACACGTTTAGTTAAAAATGATTTGAGTTGTTCTCTCTAGATTGGCTCAGTGGATAGAGGATGGGTCTGTGTATTGAAGGGTCCCAGTTGGATTCATGGCAGGGGCACATGCCCAGATTGCAGGCTCAGTCACCAAAAGGGGGCATGCAGGAGGCAACTAATCATGGATGTTTCTATCACCCTCTCCCTCCTCCTTGTTCTTCGAAATTAATAGAAACATTAAAAACACAAACTTTGAATGAATGTAGGGATTGACTTGAGAATTTTTAGTTGAGTTAAATAAAATCCATACATTGGATTTTCAATATTCATTATTCATTCAATATTCATTGCTATTTGTTGTTGCCTTACATCTGAATATTTTATGAATAAATCAAGGAATTGAGAGATTTAAAACATTTGCCCTTTCAAAGCATTTATTTCATTTCAGTGTAGACTTATTAATCTTTATATCTATTTCCTGCCTCTCCGCATGCTTGTGAGTGTGAGAAGGAAAAGAAAGATTGTTAGCCAGGAAGGGCGCTTCCCCCTTGGACAGGGGAATGGATGTGCCCAGACCAGGTCCTCATTATTGCGTTTCATGAACAAAACAAAACCATTCTCTGTGTTCAAGTTCAATGCTTTATTGGTAAGTGAACAGACAGTCCAATCAATTCTGACAGCAAACACAGAGGATCCCAGGCTTATGAGGGAGATGCAGGCACAGTAGAAAATCTACCCATAATTCTGAGAAGTAAAGACGTTTGTGGAAGAACCCAGCATGAGGTCAGCTGTCCGGTTACTTAGCTCCAATGTGGGAGGAAGTCCCTTGTGAGTTGAGATGCTGAGCTGCTGGGCAGGATCTCAGTAGAAGCCAGAGTATCCGTATCCCCC